ATCTCCTGACCTCGTGATCCGCCCGTCTCGGCCTCCCAAAGTGCTGGGATTACAGGCTTGAGCCACCGCGCCCGGCCGCCAAAACAATTTTTAAAAGGAGATGTTGCAGGACTCACAGTACCTGATTTCAAAATCTACTACAAAGGTCTTAAAATAGTGGTATTTCTACAAGGATCAACATGTAGATCAATGGAATAGAATTGAGAGTCCAGAAGTAAGCCCTTACATTGATAGTCAATTGATTTTGACAGAGGTACTAAGAAAATTCAACTCAGTGAGGAAAAACAGTCTTCTCAACATATGGTGCAAGAACTACTGGACATGCATATGCAAAAAATTGAAGTTGAACCCTTACCTCACACCACATACAACAAACTAACTCAAAATGGATCATAGACCTAAATGCAAGAACTAAAAGTGTAAAACTTAAAAACAGGAGTAAATCTTTGTCACCTTAGGCTGGGGAATTTTTTTTAGATATGACACCAAAAACATAAAGAAAAAATAGGCAAATTAGACTTCATTGAAATTAAAAACTTTTGTACTTCAAAGAACACCATCAAGAAAGTGAAAAGAACCCAAAGACTAGAAGAAAATATTTGCAAGTCGTATGTGTGATAAGGGACTCGTAGTCAAAATATATAAAAAACTTTTATAATTCAACAATAAAAAGACAACCTGATTAAAGTGGCTGAAGGATTTGAATAGACATTTCTCAATAGAATTGAAGATATGCAAATGCCAATAAGCAAGTTAAAGGATGCCCTGCATCAGGGGTCCCCAAGCCCTATGCCACAGACAGGAACCTTGCTGCACAGCAGGAGGTGAGCAGTAGGCTAGTGAGCATTACAACCTGAGCTCTACCTCCCACCTCCTGCCAGATCAGCAGTGGCATTAGATTCTCCTAGGAGTGCGAACCCTATTGTGAATTGTGCATATGAGGGGTCTAGGTTGTGCACTCCTTCTGAGAATCTAATGCCTGATGATCTGAGGTGGAACAGTTTCATCCAGAAACTATGCCCCCCACTCCACTCCCTGTCCATGGAAAAATTGTCTTCCAGGAAACTGGTATCTGGTGACAAAAAGGTTGAACACTGCTGTTCTACATCATTAGTCATTAGGAAAATGGAAATCAAAACCACAGTGAGATACCACTTCATATACACTGGGATGGCTGGAATCAAAACAATAGAAAATCATGTACTGATAAGAATATGAAGAAATTGGAAGCTTCATACATTGCTGGTGGAATTGTAAAATGGTTTGGCCACTTTATTTATTTATTTATTTATTTATTTATTTATTTATTTATTTATTATTTTGAGATGGTGTCTCATCCTGTCGCCCAGGCTGGAGTGCAGTGGCACAATCTCAGCTCACTGCAACCTTTGCCTCCCGGGTTCAAGTGATTCTCCTGCCTCAGCCTCCCAAGTAGCTGGGATTACAGGCACCCACCACCACATCTGGCTAATTTTTGTATTTTTAGTAGAGATGGGGTTTCACCATGCTGGCTATGCAGATCTTGAACTCCAGACCTCAGGTGATCCGCCCACCTTGGCCTCCCAAAGTGCTGGGATTACAGGCATGAGCCACCATGCCCGGCCAGTTTGGCCACTTTAAAAAACAGTCTGGCAGTTTCTCATAGTAATGAACATAGAGTTATCATATGACCCAGCAATTTCATCCATAGATATATGCCTAAGAGAATTGAAAATATATGTTCATGCAAATACCTGTACATATGTTCATGATAGCATTATTCATAATACTCAAAAAAATGGAAATAGTCGCAATGTCCATCAAATGATGAATGCATAAACAAAATGTGGTATATCCATACAATGGAATATTATTTGGCAAAAAAAAGAATGATGTTCTGATCCAAATTACAATGTGGATGAACCTTGAAAACATTATGCTAAGTGAAAGAAGCCAGACACACAATATCACAAATGGTGTGATTCCATTTATATGAAATGTCCAGAGTAGACAAATCCATAGAGACAGAAAGACTAGTCGTTGACAGGGACTTGGGGGAGAGAGAAATATGAAGTTGCTGCTTCATTGATACAGGGATTTCGGGGTTGCAAGGGTGAGGAAATGTTCTGGAACTAATAGTGGTGATTGCACAACATTGTGAATGTACTAAAACCACTAAATGGTACATTTAAAAGGTGAATTTTATGTGAGAATCTCAATAAACCTGTTAAAAAATGGGATTGGGTGCAATGGCTCACACTTGTAATCCTACCACTTTGGGAGGCCGAGGCAGGAGGATTGCTTGAGATCAGGAGTTCAAGACGAGCCTGAGCAACATAGTGAGACTCCATCTCTACAAAAATAATTAAAAATTAGCCGGGCATTGTGGTGCACACCTGTAGTCCCAGCTACTCAGGAAGCTAAAGCAGGAGGATTGCTTGAGATCAGGAGTTCGAGACCAGCCTGAGCAACATAGTGAGACTCTATCTCTACACAAAAATTTAAAAATTTGCTGGGCGTGGTGGTGCACACCTGTAGTTCCAGCTACTCAGGAGGCTAAGACAAGAGGATTGCTTGAGCCAAGGAGTTGGAGGTTGCAGTGAGCTATGATCGTGCTACTGTATTCCAAGCCCCTGGGCTAAATATATAAACATTTATGTCTAAAATACAACAACTAGGTCCAGGCCCAGTGGCTCACGCCTGTAATTGCAACACTTTGGGAGGCTGAGGCGGGTGGATCGCTTGAAGTCAGGAGTTCAAAACCAGCCTGGCCAACATGGTGAAAAATTTCTACTAAAAATACAAAAGTTAGCCAGGCATTGTGGCGGGCACTTGTAATTCCAGCTACACGGGAGGCTGCAGCAGAAGAAGCACTTGAACTTGGGAGACAGAGGTTGCAGTGAGCCGAGATCATGCCACTGCACTCCAGCCTTGGTGACAGAGCGAGACTCCATCTCAAAATAAATAAAATAAAATAAATAAAACAAAATAAAATAAAAAAGTAGGCCAGGCATGGTAGCTCATGCCTGTAACCTCAGCACTTTGGGAGGCCAAGGTAGGCAGATTGTGACTAGCCTGGGCAACATGGTGAAACCTCGTCTCTACAAAAAATAGAAAAATTAGCCAGGTGTGTTGGCACACACCTGTGGTCCCTGCTATTTGGGAGGCTGAGGCAGGAGGATCACTTGAGGCTGCCAAGGTCGAAGTGCAATGAGCCGTGATTGTGCCACTGCACTCCAACCTGGGTGACAGAATGAGACCCTATCTCATTATAATAAATAATAAATGGGGAGCATAATTCCGTACTCTTTTTTTTTATTTTGACACGTTTCACTCTTGTTGCCCAGGCTGGAGTGCAATGGTACAATCTCAGCTCACTGCAACTTCCGCCTCCCAAGTTAAGGCAGTTCTCCTGCCTCAGGCTCCCAAGTAGCTGAGATTACAGGCACCCGCCATCATGCCTGGCTAATTTTTGTATTTTTAGTAGAGACAGGGTTACACCATGTTGTTCAGGCTAGTCTGAACTCCTGACTTCAGGTGATCCACCTGCCTTGGCCTCCCAAAGTGCTGGGATTACAGGCGTGAGCCACCACGCCCAGCCAACTACCTACTCTGTCGACACAGACTGCACATAGTGACTTGTTTGCAAAAAGTACAGTATGGAAGGCAGTGACGGGATGAGAAAGAAACTACAGCAGAGAAACCTGACAAACACGACTTCAGCCAGGTGACCATGGCCAACATCAGCAGTTATAAATCATGCTGATAGTATATACCCTTATGATATGATTAAAATGGCCCTTTACCTCTGTGGTTTTCCTCTCGATAACCCATAACCCAGTCTTACCATGAGAAAGGCATCAGATAAATTCCATTGCTAATAGTGCAACATCCTACAAAAAATACCTGACCACTACACCTCAAAACTGTCAAGGTTGCCGGACATAGTGTCTCACGCCTGTAATCCCAGCACTTTGGGAGGCCTAGGTGGGCGGATCACGAGGTCAGGAGATTGAGACCATCCTGGCTAACACAGTGAAACCCTGTCTCTACTAAAAATACAAAAAAATTAGCCGGGTGTGGTGGTGGGCACCTGTAGTCCCGGGAGGCTGAGGCAGGGGAATGGAGTGAACCCGGGAGGTAGAGCTTGCAGTGAGCCAAGATTGCGCCACTGCACTCCAACCTGGGCGACAGAGCGAGACTCTGTTTCAAAAAAAAAAACCAAAAAACAAAAAACTATCAAGGTCATCCAAAACAAGAAAAGCCTGAGAAACTGCCACAACCAAGAGGAGCTTAAGGGAACATGACCAGTCGACGTAATGTGCTGTTCTGGATGACAGCTTGGAACAGAAAAGTGACATTCAGTACACACTAAGAAAATCTGAATACAGTATGGACTTTAGTTCATAATGTGTCCATATCGGTTCAACAAATGTATCATGCTAATGTCCAGATACTAATAATAGAGGAAACCGCGTGTGGGGTGTATGACAAGTTTTTACTGTCTTTGCAGTTTTTCTGTAAATCTAAACTTTTCTAAAATATAAAGCCTTTTGTCTGGGCGTGTTGGCTCACGCCTGTAATCCCAGCACTTTGGGAGGCCGAGGCGGGCGGATCACGAGGTCAGGAGATCGAGACCATCCTGGCTAACATGGTGAAACCCCATCTCTACTAAAAAATACAAAAAACTAGCTGGGCGTGGTGGGAAGCCCCTGTAGTCCAGCTACTCCGGAGGCTGAGGCAGGAGAATGGCGTGAACCCAGGAGGCGGAGCTTGCAGTGAGCCGAGATTGCGCCACTGCACTCCAGCCTGGGCGACAGAGCGAGACTCCATCTCAAAAATAAAATAAAATAAAAATAAAGCCTTTTAGGCTGGGCACGTTGGCTCACGCCTGTAATCCCAGCGCTTTGGGAGGCTGAGGTGGGCGGATCATGAGGTCAGGAGATCGAGACCATGGTGAAACCCCCCTGGATAACATGTGAAACCCCATCTCTACTAAAAATACACAAAAGGTCCACCCCTAACATTGAAGGTCATATTTCAACATGAGAGTTGGAGAGGACGAACATCCAAACCACATCACTTGGGCAGCGGGGCAGCTGACTGTTCTGTGCTGCTTTCTCAGAGGCGCTTGCCTTCAGCTGCTTCACGGAGCTCATGAAGAGGATGAACCAGAACTTCCCCCACGGAGGCGCCATGGACACGCACTTTGCAAACATGAGGTCGTTGATCCAGGTATGACTCCCCATCCAGTCCTGCTTTGGACTTTTTTGGGAAACAGTAAGTAAAGCTTAGTGGCTCCAAACTGAGCTATTTAGAGCCCACCTGGATTGGAATCCTATTTCTGCTGTACAAACTCGGCATATGCTCTTATCTTTCTGGGCCTCAGTTTTCTCATCTGTGAAATAGGTTTCCTCATTTTTATGAGTCTCAATAAGTTATTAGAATTATCATGGAAATGAAATAAACTAATGATGTTATAGTGCTCAGCACAGTGCCTGAGTACCTCTCAGAGCATAGTCCATGGACTGGCAACATCAGCCTCACTGGCAACTTGTTAGAAGTGCAAATTACTGGGCACCTTTCCTCCACCGAATAAAAATCTCTGAGTTGGGCCCAGGAGTCTGTGCCATATGAAGCTCTCCAGGTAATTCTGGTGCAAGCTCAAATTTGAGAAGTATTGTAATAAATGCTAGCTCTTCAGCATTCATAGCGATTAGTATATCTACTCCCCAGAAGAGTTAAGACACTCAACCCTTTGAGTAGAAGGAATGCAAATGTGTTAACTTGAGTAAATGGTGGGGATGCTTTGTTATCTACACACTAGCAGTGGAGCTACAGTTAGCTCTGATTTCTTCTTTAGTGGAACTTTAAAATACTACAAAATATTTTGGACATAAGGAAGGTAAAAGAGTAATATAACGAACACCCATGTTTCCACCCCCACCTCCCCAAGAAATAAAATATTAACCACAGGCTGGGCGTGGTAGCTCACGCCTGTAATCCCAGCACTTTGGGAGGCCAAGGCAGGCGGATCACTTGAGGCCAGGAGTTTGAAACCAGCCTGGCCAACATGGTGAAACCCCATCTCTAACTAAAAATACAAAAATTAGTCAGGCGTGGTGGCTCACACCTGTAATCCCAGCTACTCAGGAGGCTGAGGCAGGAGAATCTCTTAAACCCGGTAGGTGGCGATTGCAGTGAGCTGAGATCGCACCGTTGCACTCCAGCCTGGGTGACAGAGCAAGACTCTGTCCCGAAAAAAAGTTAACTTTAGATTTTTCATTATTCGTGTACCCCTTCTTGATGGCATTTCCCCACCACTCCTGTCCTCCCAGTGGTAAGCACTTTGCAGATTCCTGTGTTCACCATTATAATGTACTTTTAAAAATTCTTTTACAATATATGCATATATTCCTAAACAGCATATAACTCTGTTTCTTTACTCCCCACTTTACATAGTTTTAAATGGTATGAACTCTTGTGCGGCTTGTCTTTATACTCAGTAACAAGTTTGAGAGGCTCATCCACAAGGGGGCAGTTGATTCCTCTTTTCCGGAAGTACAGTCTTCTGCGTTAGGAGCACAGTGCATTCTATCACGTTTGATTTGGATCCATTTTCCTGTTGGTGGTCATTTAGGTTGTTTTTATTTGGTTTGGTTTTGCTTTTGCTTGGGGAACTTGGGGTTTTGCTTTTGGCCTTTATAAACAGCGCTGCACTGAAATTCTTGTGTGCATCCCTGCTGCATGCATGCAACAACTTTGCTTAGTCATCTACTCGGAATGGAATTGCTGGGGCAGAGAGAATGCACGTCCTCAGTTTTATCAGGCACGACGGAATCACTCTCAAAGTGATTGTACCAGTTTCTTAATGCTCCAGGGCAGTATGGTAAGGGTTTCAACACACACCATCCTCACTTGATATTGTCACACTTATATATTTTTGTCAATCTCTTGGATATGATTCGAGCATCCCATTGTGTTTTATAATTTTTTTTATTTTTAATTTTTGTGGGTACATAATAGGTATATATATATATATATGTGGAGTACATGAGTTGTTTTGAGACCGGAATGCAATGTGAAATAAGCACATCATGGAAAATAGAGTATCCAGTCCCTCAAGCATTGACATCCTTTGTGTTCCAAACAATCCAATTATATGCTTTTGGTTATTTTAAAATGTACAGTGAAATTATTGTTGGCCATAGTTACCCTGCTGTGCGATCAAATAGTATGTCTTTTTCATTCAGTTTTTTCATTGTGATTTTATTTGCATTGTCTTGATTGACAGTGAAATTAAATATCTTCTTCTTTTTTTTTTTTTTAAGTTCATTTGGATTGTGAAGTACCTATTCATATGCTTTGCCCATTTTCTTTTTCTTTGTTTTGTTTTTTTTAGAGACAGAGTCTCACTCTATGGTCCAGGCTGGAGTGCAGTGATGTGATCTTGGCTCACTGCAAGCTCCGCCTCCTGGGTTCATGCCATTCTCCTGCCTCAGCCTTCTGAGTAGCTGGGACTACAAGCTCCCGCCACCATGCCTGGCTAATTTTTTGTATTTTTTTTTATTTTAGTAGAGACAGTGTTTTACCATGTTGGCCAGGATGGTCTCAATCTCCTGACCTCGTGATCCACCCACGTCGGCCTCCCAAAGTGCTGGGATTACAGGCGTGAGCCACCGCACCCGGCCAACTTTGCCCATTTTCTATGTACATTTTTTCCATAATTAGAGTCATTTTGTACATACTTTTCTTTCTGTACATTATTTTTCAAACAAGGTTTTTTTCCCCCACTGACTAGCATATCCAATAGCTGGAGGTATTCTTCCACCACCTGTTTTTTTATAACATTTTGTTAAAATATAATTTAGATACATAAAATTTACCCTTTTGAAGTGTATGATTCAGTCAGTGGCTTTTCGTTTATTCACAGAGTTATGCGATCATCACCAATTTCAGAACATTTTCATTACCTTAGAAAGAAACTCTTCATTAACAGCCACTCCCCATCCCCTCCGTCTCCCCAGCCCCTGAAAACCAAGGAGCTGCTTTCTGTTTCCGTGGATTTGCCTTTTCTAAACGTTTCATATAAATGGAATCATACAATATGTGGCCTTTTATGACTGGCTTCTTTTACCTAGCATAATGATGTCAAGGTTTATCGTGTGTGTATGATGCATTGTAGCATGTATCAAAACTTAGTTTACGGCCAGGCACAGTGGCTCATGCCTGTAATCCCAGCACTTTGGGAGGCCAAGGCAGGTGGATCACCTGAGGTCAGGAGTTCAAGACGAGCCTGACCAACATGGTGAAACTCCCATCTCTACTAAAAATAACAGAAATTAGCCAGGCGTGGTGGCAGGTGCCTGTAATCCCAGCTACTTGGGAGGCTGAGGCACGAGAATCACTTGAACCTGGGAGGTGGAGGTTGCAGTGAGCTGAAATCATGCCACTGCACTCCAGCCTGGGCGATAGAGCAAGACTCAGTCTCAAAAAAATAAAAACAAAACTTAGTTTGTTTTTATTACCAGATAATATTAAAATAGATGGTATGGATATGCTACCTATATTTATCCATTCATGTCTTGATGGACATTTGAGTTGTTTCCCAGTTGTTGGCTATTATGAGTAACACTATTACACACATTCATTCATGTACAGATTTTTATGTGGATATGTTTTTGTTTTCATTTTGTTTTTTTAGACAAGGTCTCTGTCATCCAGGCTGGAGTCCAGTGGTGTAATCATAGTTCATTGCAGCCTTGAACTGGGCTCAAGTGATCCTCCCACTTTAGCATCCTGAGTAGCTGGGACTACATACCCAGGACACCATGCCAGGCGAATAATAAATTATTTTCTTTCTTTCTTCTTTTTTTTTTTTTTAGAGACAGGGTCTTGCTATGTTGCCCAGGCTGGTGTCAAACTCCTGGCTTCAAGTGATTCTCTTGCCTTGGCCTCCCAAAGTGCTGAGCTACCACACCTGACCGATAATGTTTTCATTCTTCTTGGGGATAAACCTAAGAGTGGAATTGCTGCATCATATGGAAATTCTGTGTTTAGGTTTTTGAGGAACTACCAAACTGTTTTCCACAGCAGACACACCATTTTATATTCTCGGGAGCGGTGTATGGGGGTTCCAGTTTCTCTGCATCCTCGCCAACACTTGTTATTGTCTGTCATTTTTCACTATCCTAGTGAATGTGAATTGGTATCTTGTGGTTTTTGAATTGCATTTTCCTAAGGATTAAGGATGCTGAGCATCTTTCATGTGCCTCTTGACTATTTGTGAATCTCCTTTGGAGAAATGTCTATTCAGATCCTTTCCCTTTTTTTTTTTTTTGAGACGGAGTCTCGCTCTGTCGCCCAGGCTGGAGTGCAGTGGCCGGATCTCAGCTCACTGTAAGCTCCGCCTCCCGGGTTTACGCCATTCTCCTGCCTCAGCCTCCCGAGTAGCTGGGACTACAGGCGCCCGCCACCTCGCCTGGCTAGTTTTTTGTATTTTTTAGTAGAGATGGGGTTTCACCGTGTTAGCCAGGATGGTCTCGATCTCCTGACCTCGTGATCCGCCTGTCTCGGCTTCCCAAAGTGCTGAGATTACAGGCTTGAGCCACCGCGGCCCGGCCCCTTTCCCATTTTTTAAACTATACCTAGCTGTTAAGGGCTATATGGTGTCTGGTGTGTGGATGTACCACCATTTATTCAGCTGTCTCCTCTGCTCCAGCCTTTTCCCAAGAGGCTAATGCTGCCTTTGCTTCCTTGACAGATCCTGGACTCGGAGCTGTTTGAGCTGATGCATCAGAATGGGGACTATACTCACTTTTACTTCTGCTACCGCTGGTTCCTGCTGGATTTCAAGCGAGGTACAGACTTTAAACGGGGGACCTGTGTCCAGACTCTTTGTAGCAGAACTTTCAGGGGGAACGATCCTGTGGAGGTGAGGTTGAAGGGTTGGCAGCAGAGGCAGCAGGGGAGAGAAGCACATGTTTATGGAGTTGGGACTATCGTTTCACCTGCCTTATCTTGCATTGACAGTCCGCAGTAGGTGCTGTTAAGATCTTCATCTTACCAATCAATGAGGAAACTGAGGCTGAGAAGGGTTAAATTCAGAGCTAGGGAGAGATAACTTCAGGGCTGGGGTGAGTACAGCCAGGATTTGAACCCACCTCTTTCATTCTGCTGTGCTGCTTTTCAGAGCCCAAGAACTCTAAAGCCCATGAGGCAGGGGCTATTTCATGCACATTCCAACAGGACATAAAAGTGTCGTATAACACAGTACTTTGTTGCTATTGTACAGATTTGGGATGATGTTAATAATTATAATAATATCAGATATGGGCCGGGTGCGGTGGCTCACGCCTGTAATCCCAAGGAGGCCAAGGAGGTCAGATCACGAGATCAGGAGATCAAGACCTAACATGGTGAAACCTCGTCTCTACTAAAAATACGAAAAATTAGCTGGGCGTGGTGGTGCACACCTGTAGTCCCAGCTATTCAGAGGCTGAGGCAGGAGAACTACTTGATCCTGGGAGGCGGAGGTTGCAGTGAGCTGAGATCACACCACTGCCCTCTAGCCTGGGTGACAGAGCGAGACTCCATCTCAAAAAAAAAAACGGACATGTATGGAGTGTTTCAGTGCCATGCACTGTGCTGAGTCATTTATGTGTATTATCTCTTTAGCCTTTTTCTATTATCAGCTTCACCCCACTTACAGATGAGGAAAGAGACAGGCTCATGGAGAAGTAACTACCCCAGGCTCCCCTTGCCAGCAAGTGATGGAGGAAGGATTCACACCAAGTTTATCAGACATAGGAAGGCTTGCTTTTTTTTTTTTTTTTTTTGAGACGGAGTCTTACTCTTTTTGCCCAGGCTAGAGTGCAAGTGCAATGGCGTGATCTCTGCTCACTGCAACCTCCGCCTCCCAGCTTCAAGCGGTTCTCCTGCCTCAGCCTCCTGGTTTGGGAGAACACCTTGGTCTCCCAAAGTGTTGGGATTACAGGCGTGAGCCACCACACCCGGCCTTTTTCTTTTTCTTTCTTTTTTTT